CTATCGACTCATCCCAGTTTCTGGCCTGTATGGAAGCTAGCTGGCAATTTCAAACATTACCGGCGCATGCTCCACACACAGCGAACGGATCTTTTGTTCTCCCTAAAACCCCGCTGCTTACCTTTGCCCATTCACCCAATCGCTGCTCCTCTTGTTACGAGACTGTGGAGTTTGGAACATAGCACCACTCACTATGGAATATGCCCTACCCACTATGACCACTTGTCCTCAGTCTCGTCCACTAGGGGGATCACCTTCACGTCATCCTTCTCCGATTTCTTTGGTTTCTAAACTGCACCGGAACCACATTGGGAATTTCCGATTTCACACCCGCCGATTGACTAAGTAATTCTTCCGTTCCATCCCAAAACGTCACTTTTTCATTTTGTCTGTTCTCGAGGCTGTCTACGAACCGTATCGCAAAGGCGTGAACCATTTTTTTTACGAAATCTACCTGGATTCCTACAGTTGGCATTTGTTATCTCTTCCTCACTTGGAGCTGCTGCCGAGCCCCTATAACTTTCCCTTGGGACCAATTTATGAGTTTTCATTCATTGTCAAGAGGTACACAGAAACCAGTTCAGGAGGAACACTTCCAATATCTCTCATTGCAATTTGATTCATACTCACGTTTTCCAGACTAACTGTGAGTAGAAAGAAGAGATTTTTCTGCTGACCATACTTAAGTGAGCACCTTGGCCCATAACAGGAATTCCTTCACCTTTTACAAAACGTCATTGTTCACCTCTGTGCAGATTTTGCCTGGATTTAGCTCTTTTAATTATACTACGAACTTGTTAAAGTAGCGCTTCCTACCTAAACAACGTCGACCACGAGACTTAACCTTTCTATCTCGCTCTCACCGTGGTAATAAACGTAAGTCATCATACAGGGAGATCCATTCACTGCCAACTAATCTCGCCTTTTGAACGAGTGGTGAGGTCGAAACTTACTTTCCTATTTGTTTTCTATCGCCTCCATCATTTCTCGTTTGTTTGATTAGGACCGTCACCATGAACACTGCTACCAAATTTCCTCCGAGTCTTGAAGTTGACTCAGAGCACAGTTTCAAGACCAAAACTTTGGTTTTTGACTTAGGCATATCCTATTTCGGGGTTGGTCAGACTGTAGGCGTGACCCTGCCCAGTTCGTGTGCACTTCATGCACCTTGGCCTGCTCATTACCCATCCCGAAGTAAGTCGGGCCAGTTAGGTAAATTCCTTTACATTCGTAAAAAATTATATATGGGCAGACGATAACCCACATATGAGAAGCAATTAAAAGCTTCGCTAATAATAGGCACCACTAAATATAAAGGTCGTAATAGAAAACTTCATTCGTGCAGAGCAAAACTAAAGCATATTCCATACGACAGGACAAGTATGTGAACACTTCTAAACGTTTAAATCGGAACTGTGCTTTACCTAGGCATTTTATAGACCGTCAAATCCACGAGCCTGAAATCTCAGAGGGTTTTACATTTGAGTTCACTCGTATGGTCTAACCATGAAAAACGAATCATGAATCATGGTGGCATTGTAAAGCAAAAATGCTGGGTGGTCAATGCCTCTACCATCAGACGACACGACTAAGAACCTGGCATTGTGAGTGAAGAGCCGCAGCAATTTGCGCAGCTACTTAAACCTTGACAGGATTACCATAGGTCGTCTTGCGTTCTATGGCGATGATGGATGGCTTCAACTCTTCTTGATAGTGAAGGGGCAGTGGTGGAGTGCCTGCTACTTTTTGAAGAGTAAAGTCAAAGGAAATTCTTCATTATGATAATTGCTTTAACGTCGCAGTTCGCCGCAGTGCAAAAGTTATCACAAGAGAGCTTCAAGGCTACTGCATAAAACGTGAAGCTGAAAGGATAAGTGCGGTCTTAGTGTCGTAGCTGATAGGGTACTCGCCCAAAATGTGTGGGCTGCCCTTTTGCCCCCTTTTGACTTTTTCCTCTGATCAAAGCAGTATCTGATAATAGCTCCATTCCATTTATCTTCCCATATGATGTGACGTAAACATTCATGGCGCATCTTACGAGCAAACCCTTGCACTAAACCAAACAAGACGCCTAATGAACCAAGAACTTTGCATGAATTGCAATCCTTACACAAAATCACGCCACTCTTCATCAGAGTATCCACAAAATAGCCTTCTCTCTTGACATCGTGTTCAAGGTTATTCACAATTGAAACGAACTCACTTCCAGTGGCAGCGGCTTGCGCAGCCCCTTCGCTGATGCCGAATCGTTCTAGCACGGGAGCCATCTGCCCGGTAGCAAGAGCGTGGCCGAAGGTGTTGGCAGCCTGAGAAAATCAAGTAACGAAGCTCAAGCCGGCGTGAGAATACTGCCAGAGAAAAAGAAATACAATCGGTCCTCTTAGGGCTGTTTTCTTTTTTGTTAGCAAAAACTAAATTAAGGTCTTTCACGAATGAGAAGCGTTATTTCCCAGTCGCCTCGAGCGCGACGAACTGACGTTGCAACCAGGATGATGTGTAACTAGGATCCGATGCATGTGGGGTGTCGTTGTTCTTAATGTGTTGTGCCTCTCATGTCAACTAGCTAGGACAGCGCGTGAAGGCTCGAATAGGAGAAAGCGCTATACACCAGTCTATCTTATCCACAGAAACATAGCGCCACAATATCAAAAACGCAAAATAATCGGAAGCAAATGAAATTAAGCGTCACATTATCACAGCTAATTTGGATGAGACGCATCTACTTCACCTTAATGCAGAAGAAACCAAATTTTAGTCCCAAAACTGCTGGCCCGTTCCTGACAATATCAACAAGGGCCAACTATAATAATCCACGCCAGAAACATTGCACAGCTGAGTTCAATAAGAAAGAAAATGAACTGGAATTTTTCAGCTTACTTGTCTGTAATGAGGAGAACGAACAGTATCCTCTAAAGCCTGTTTAGTATCCGGCGCTGTTTTATCCTCCGCGGGCATATGGTTGAGAAGGCGATCTGAAAATGATTACATCATGACGGTTGTGAAGCAGAGAGCCTCCAATTAGTTCTATTTACCACTGCGAGGAAAGAAATGGAATTCAACTTCAACTCACCCGCATTGTTTTTCGCTGTGTCAACTACTTGCCCTCCAGCAATGACGTCACCGAGCTCGATCGCAACCTGACGATCTTGCGATGAACCGGCACCTGCAGTTCCTGGAGCCCTGAGCCCACCTAATAAGGTTTGAAGTTGAGTAAGCTCCGAGGCAGAAACTGAAAACCATGTAGTTGTGGGCAAAGCTTGAAAAACTAATCTAAACAGGAAGGTCAACAGGTCGCCATGGCCATTCAAGATGAGATGCATATCGACGTGTAGGTCTTGGGACGCTGAACTCAAATCTGCTTCCAAAATTTGCCGAACGATTCTCTATGAGGAGTTAGGGGGGTGGTGGTTTTAGCATAGCACTCGCCGATCCTCCTTTGCGTAGCTCAAGTTAAG